GCATGATATTGACTAATTTTAAAAGGATCAAAAAGAATACAAAAATATATATAAAAATCTGATTTTTCCCACACAAACATACAATTAAAGGAAAATAGCTATACCATATTTCAAAAGATGAGTAAAAAATTAAGTAAAATAATACATGATATGCTGATAAACTTAGATTCTCAAGGACTTTCAGAGTTAACGTTTATGTGTTTGTTGGTCTGATACGGTCTGATACGGTCTGAATCGTGTGTGTTTTGTTTTGCGAACTGGCACAGAATGCAGGTGCAGGGTTAGCCTGAGCCAAGGTTTGTCACAGTGCAGAACTGCTATCATTTAAAATGAAGCAGAGTTGTAATGGTGATTAAAAGTGGACTGATCATATCAGAGCAGACAAGGACAAAGGTGGGAGGGACATAATTATCCCGACGATTAACGGTGAGTGATTGCTAAAAGGGAACAGATGTCATTTTAACTAGAACCAATGTGAAACANACACACACACACACACACACTACTCACCTGTTTAGCTATGCCATTTTCCCACCAGGCTTCATATTTACTTCCATTTGGGAAGAACAACACTCCTTTGCCATGAAACATCCCATCCTTCATTTCTCCCACATACTTAGTGCCAGTGGCAAACGTGTACTCTCCTCCATCCATCCTGACGGGAAAAGGGATGCACACAGCTTTGTGAACTGAAATGCTATTAACAATTTGGATGAGTAAAACCTCTTTATAGTATATCTCTAAAAGTTTTACCTGCCATTTTTGAAACAGCCTTTGTAGCTGCTTCCAGTGAAATCCATTTGTAAAATAAACTATTGAAGTCCCTCCACCGTTTTTTATCTTAAAAAAAAATAAATAAACGAAAGATGGTGCAAAAGAAGCTTCAGCTTCACTGTCTGTTAACATGGCAACCCGACAACAGAGGGGAAAATTAGACGAAGTTATTAAAAACAAAGTAAAAAAGCTGTTTTGTTCGTCAAATATGTTTCGTTTTGACTTAAAAGTATTTTTGACAAAACAAATCGCCTAATACTTTCCCCCAACTTTAATTTTTTTYCCCAAAAAGCAAACGATGTCGTCATCAGAACGCGCCCAAACAGAAACTGACCTTCTCTGCGGCCCAACTCGTCCCAGAGCCAGACGAGGAGGACCTTGAATGTTTTTCGCCTTCTCTACTTGATTTTTCTTCGCTTGCTTTAGCCTAGAAGCACAAAGCCATGCCACATACGCTGGAAATTCCCACTCTGGAGGAGCTGAAGGTGGATGAGGTGAGTATCTGTCTTTGTTTAGTTAGCCGACGAATAGCTAACTAGCATGCTAACAGCTTAGCTGCTAACGTCGCTACCTGCAAGAAAGTGCCTGAGTGTTTAAAGACCAWACATTTTTAGATAAATAAAGTAGCCACTTGTAATTGCACGGGGATGAGTTAAATATTCAAGCACGTTTGTTGAATATTTATCGGCGTCAGGCTACTGTGCCCTGTAGAAACGTTTGTAMGGGTTGTAGTATTTTTGCCCTTTCCTTTCACATGATAATCCCAAAAAGAGAGTCGAAAAACTTAAAAACTTCAGCCACCATCAGACATTAAACAGGAAAGTTTATATTCTCAGACGGTCGTTAGATGGTACGAAGACCTTGTCCTTGAAGGTCATTTTATTGTTGTTAGCAGCATATCATCTATCTATCTATCTATCTATCTATCTATCTATCTATCTATCTATCTATCTATCTATCTATCTATCT